TTTATTTAAAATACATTTTATTGATTTTTCACAGAGAGGAAGAGAGAGGGATAGAGAGTTAGAAACATCGATGAGAGAGAATCATCGATCAGCTGCCTCTTGCACACCCTCCACTGGGGATGTGCCCGCAACAAAGGTACACGCCCTTCACCAGAATCGAACCCGGGAACCTCCAGTCCCCAGACCGACACTCTATCCATTGAGCCACACCGGTTTTGGCCCCTTCCTGGATTTTAGAGGCTCATCTTCCACATGTCTCTCCCAAGCACGTTTCCAAAACACCCGGATCCATGGCTACTGTGAAGGGGCTGGCCACCTGGAGCATCATCCTTAGCGGTATGAAGGCTCCCATTGGGTCATCGTGCACGTGTGTGAGGAATGTGTCAATGCCTCGGACGTCACATCCACGGAAGAAAACATCCCACAGTTGTAAACCACCCACGTGGGAGATTCCACCACTATCAGCTTGCCTATCGCCGGACCCGGCACACAAACGCACAGCGTGGAATGCACATCTGTCACCACAAAGTGCAAACCCTACGGTGGGGCCTATATGATGCCCGAGTGGTGCCAGGGCACCCATCGCAGCCGCCTGCCAAGCTTCCTCTGCAGATTGGTGTTGGCACCGCCCGCCCGGACAGCGGAACCGACGGGCACCAGGAACGGCAGTGGAGCAGGAATGAGCAGCGGCGCCAGCGTCTGGGCCCGTTTTGACGCCGGAAGACCATGGCTTTCTTGCTCTTGGGTGAAGAGGAAAGTCTTTTCTGGAATCCACCGAAGACTCATTTTTCTCCCCTCGTGTGTGTGTGGGGAAGATACTATTAGAGCAAAGCATTTAAAAAGAGGTTCAGGGGATATAAATATTCCAAGAGACTAAGCAGATGAGTCACGGCGTGTCCCTTAACATAACATGCGCTGACAGTGATTTGTAGATGTCCGGTGAGGTGCCCAGTGTTGCGCTGGGAAGCATGGACAAGAGGAGCACCAGGTACCTGGCTGTCCGTGAGGAGACGATGTGACGGGAGCGGAGGACACCATCGGAGAGGCACAGCTCCCGTGGGGGGCGTGCGCTGAGCACAGGTGGCCCGGCCTGGGCATGGCTACTGAGGAGTGAGAGAAACAAGGGGGTTAGCAAAGGGGCCGGGGAAGGAGGGCGGAGTGCAACTTGCAAGTGGAAAGAATTTTAAAAGAGTTAACACGCTGATTGAACCCTTCTTTTTGTCCATTAAAGACTATGCTGAACAGTTGGCTTACACGGTTTTATCTATTTCTCTCGATGACCTGATGGATTTAATACTGTTCTTTACCTCAAGTTTACCAACCAGGAAACTGAGATTCAGTGAGAGTGAGTGACGTTGCTGAGACTGGATGGGGAATCCTAGCCCTGTTGTTATAAAGACCTGGGCATCACCCTCGCTGGTCTGGCTCAGTGGATAGAGCATTAGCCCATGGACTGAAGGGTCCTGGGTTTGGTTACGATCAAGGGCACATGCCCGGGTTGTGGTCTCGATCGCCAATAAGGGGCGTGCAGGAGGCAGCCGATTGATGATTCTCTCTCATCTTTGATGTTTCTCTCTCTCCCTCTCCCTTCCTCTCTGAAATCAATAATACGTATAAAAAAAGAAAGGCACAGGAGTAGATATTAATGATATAAATGTGTGTCTATATAATAGATGTGTGTAGGGAGGAGACAGTGAAAAGAGTTGGCATTTTAGATGTGAGAGGATGAAAGACACAGGTGGGAACTGGCACGGGTTTGAGGCACCACTGAAGTCCCTAAGTAACTGGGAAGGAGGGTGTATCCTGGGCGGGTAGCTGAAGGAGACTGGGTATGGAAACCCCAGTGGGAAGGCCGGTGTTGGCACGTGACAGAGGGCTGGGCTGGAGCGGAGAGGCAGGTGTGTGCCCACTGGCCGAACAGGTGAGCACGGCCATTCCATCACCCTTTCCAGCACGGGCTCTGATGGAGAACAGCCCAGGAATGGGACGCCACTCCGCAGGACACGGAAGACCCTGGAGGCCACAGGAGGAAGCAGAGAGCTGTCCACTGCGTGTGGGCACACGTAACGGGGAGCCCAGAGGGAGCTGGGGACTCAGAGGTGCTTGAGGCGGGAGAGCAGGACTGAGCCTGCTGCCGAGGATGGACTTCCCTCAGGAGTGAGGGGACCGAGCTGTGCTGTGACAGAGGCAGGGTGACCAGGAGGCCCGGCTTCTGGAATCTGAACCACTCGGTGTGTCTGTAGGTGTTAGGAAATACACACACAGAACCCTACATGCCCGTGTGACTGTGTTTATAAGGAAAACCAACAAGCCTTTTGTAGTAAAATCACCGACACCGGTAACCAAAGCAGTAAAAAAGTAGAGAAATACACTTTTCTTCTTTTTTTGGTCATAGTCTTCCTTTTTGTTTTATTTCGTTAACCCTCACCCGAGGGTGTTTTTCCATTGACTTTTAGAGAGAGTGGAAGGGAGGGAGAGAGACAGAGAAACATCCACGTGAAAGAGACACGATTGGCTGCCTCTCACACAGGCCCCAACCCTGCAATGAAGGTACATGCCCTTGACCGGAGTTGAACCCAGGACCCTTCAGGCCGCAGGCTGATGCTCTATCCGTTGAGGCAAACCAGCGAGGGCTGGTCATAGCCTTCTTTAAGACGTTGGCTAAGGGAAGCAGGAGTGGTGGTTGTATTAGTAAACACGTCTAACGAGTATTTGCCATCTGAAGATGAACGCTCATTTCGAAGCAGCCCGTGGCTCCGAGCCCGCATTGTAAGCTGATTCTGCGAACAGGCAGCGTTCCCCGAGGACTCTGAGCCCGTGACCTCGATGGGACCCCGAGGTCTGAAGGGGAGTCCCGGAGCCACGTGGCAGAGGAGGGGGACGAGCCGGGAGGGGCCTGGGCCTGGGGCGCGGGAGGTCGTGTTCTTGGAAGGCGAGCCCATGGCACAGGCGCTCTGGCACTCGTGCTCCTACTGGGTCCTTGTTACCTTTTTTGTAAAAATAACTTTTTATTTTGAAATAGCTTAAGGCTCACAAGACATTGCAAAAATAGTACAGAGTTTGTGTGTGCCCTTCACCCAGTTTCCCCAGTAACCGGCTCCTGCACAGTCCTGGGATGGGGTCCAAACCAGGACGCTGACCTTGGCCCGCCCCCGTGACCTCGGGAGGGCGCTTCCCGGGTTTGACCAGCTGCCTCTTTTCGTCTCCTAAACAAGGAGAATGCTTTGAAGTTGTTAGATTGTTTCTTTTTCCGGTGTTGAAAATGCAAAAATAAATAAATAAATAAATAAAATAAAAATAAATAAATCTTGCCGAAGCCGGATTGGCTCAGTGGTAGGGCGTCGGTCTGTGGACTGAAAGGTTCCAGGTTAGATTCCGGTCAGGGGCATGTACGTTGGTTGCAGGCTCATCCCCAGTAGGGGGTGTGCAAGAGGCAGCTGGTCGATGTTCCTCTCTCATCGACGTTTCTAGCTCTCTATCCCTCTCTCTTCTTCTCTGTAAAAAATCAATAAAATATATTAAAAATAAACAAATAAATAAATCTTTATTTTTACAACAAAATCTTCCATTATCTGCTCTAAAACATGTAACTGACAATGTTATTTGACTCAAGGGTAAGTAGGTTTTATGTTTATGTAAATTACTTTAATTTTGGTATTAAAAGGTAGAGATTTTCTTTTCATTTTCTACAATGTATATTTGTAGTCCCCAAAGTTATTTATGAAATCATGACTTTAAAAATTGAACTGAGCCGAAGCCGGTGTGGCTCAGTGGATAGAGCGTCGGCCTGTGGATTGAAAGGTCCCAGGTTTGATTCTGGTCAAGGGCATGTACCTTGGTTGCGGGCACATCCCCGGAGGTGGGTGTGCAGGAGGCAGCTGATCGATGATTCTCTCTCGTCAATGTTTCTAACTCTCTATCCCTCTCTCTTCCTCTGTAAAACATCAATAAAAAAAAATTGAACTGAGACAGGATTTCTGATACTGTGGGGCCTGGGTCCCAGTCCCACCTGCTGCTATAAACCACTGGGTCCAGCTTCTGGAACAGGGTGTCGGCTCTTCCCGTGTGTGTGTGTGTGTGTGTGTGTGTGTGTGTCCGGAGAGGCAAGCCGTTCATGCCCAGTCAGACCACATACTGGTCTGCAGCAGCTGAGGAGCCGACGGCACGCGGGTCTCCTCCGCCAGCTGGGAAGCACCGGCGCCCAGTGCGGTGGTGAGTGTGGTGAGAGCATTATCCTGTGTCTACGCATCCTGTTCAATGCCTGTGCCATTCCTTCCGCAATCCCCTAGAGGGGGAGTGAGCCAGGCTCCAGGTGATGCCTGCCGCCTTCCCCAGCTGCCTTCTCCCTTCCCGGACTGGCACTGAGGTCCAGAACCAGGGGCTCCCTGAAGGCCCTGTCCGGGAGGGGCTCTGAAAGGCAATCCCCTCTATAGGAGGCCCAGCAGGTACAGCACAGCCGCCACCGCTGACACTTCCCCAAGTCTAATCGTTCAGTTTCCCGGGACCCGCCTGCCAGTCCGGCTGGGTGCCCCGAGGGGAGGGGCTGGAGGAGCGATCGGACACAGTGCCGACCCCGGTGCTTGTGGCCAGCTCCCGGGCCGCCCTGGGCGCCAGCGGCCACGTCCGTGGGAGGAGGGGAGCAGCGGTGACGCTGTCCTCTCCCCTGGAGGCCGGCCCGGCGGGCACGGAGCCGCTGGCAGGGCCCGAATGGAGCCGGGCGCCAGCCCCGGGCTGTGCCCGTCACTCGGTCCGGCCGGTCCCAGCGCGTGGCGCTCAGCCAGGCCGGTGCCCGCCCCCCCTCCGGCTCCCGGGCCCCTCCGAGCCCCCTGCCCCGGTGCGCCCTGGGGAGTGGCCGGGCGGCGGGGGCGGCGGGGGCGCCGGGGAGGGAGGGAGGGACGGGCGGGCGGGCTCGGCGGCGGCCGGGCTGGCGCGGCGCCCGGGGGCGGGAGCGGGGAGCGGGGAGCGCCGGGCCGCGGCCACTCGGGCCGGGCGGGCGCACCATGCCGGCCTTCGACGAGGCGCTGCAGCGCGCCGGCGAGTTCGGGCGCTTCCAGCGGCGCGTGTTCCTGCTGCTGTGCCTGACGGGCGTCACGTTCGCCTTCCTCTTCGTGGCCGTGGTCTTCCTGGGCAGCCGGCCCGAGCGCTTCTGGTGCCGCGGGCCCGGGGCGGCCGCGCTGGCCGAGCGCTGCGGCTGGAGCGCCGAGGAGGAGTGGAACCGCACGGCGCCCGCGGGCGCGGGGGGCAGCTGCCGCCGCCTCCAGCTGGAGGCCGCCGGTGCCCTCGCCAACGCCAGCGCCTCCGCCTGCGCCGACCCGCTCGCCGCCTTCCCCAACCGCTCGGCGCCGCTCGTGCCCTGCCGGGGCGGCTGGCGCTACCTCCAGGCCCGCTCCACGGTGGTCAGCCAGGTGAGCGCCCCGGCCGGCCGGCGGAGGGAGGGACGGGCACCGGGGAGAGCCGGCCGCCGGGAAGGCTGGAAAGTTCGTGCGCTCGCACCTGCGGGGACCGACCTGGGACCTGGCCATCCCCCCTCCTGCAAGTGCCTCATCGGCAGTGCCCGGAGCACCCTCCGTGCGCTCCCTCCCGGAGCGAAGGGGGTGGAAGCCCAGGGAAGCCACGTTCTGGGACACCCGCACCCTCCCGGCGTCTGAGCATCCCTGCGGGTGGTCTCTGAGCGCTTGCACTTTTCCACGGAAGTTGGGGGGCAGCTGGCTGGGTGGGTGGGAGAGCCGCAGGCTCCCTGGCTGCGAGGCTGAGCGGCCCCCGGGGCTCCTGGTGGGGGTGGGAAGGGGGCAGAGGAAGGAGGAAGAGCCTTAGAAGGCAGCACCGCTTTCTCCATCTGCCAAAATGATGACCCAAAGGCAGAGGGACAAAGGTTCAGGCTGTCCCAGGAAGCGGTTTGGATCAAACTTTTTGGGGCAAAGAGCAGCCACCAGAGAAGTTGGGAAAGCTTCGTTTTTGAACTATTTTAATTTTTCTTCCGCGCATCCATCACGGGGACACCAGCCCTGTAACGTGGACGACCACTCCCCAGTGGTGACGGGGGGCGGGGCAGCACCCACATTTCCCTGGTGCTGTGGGCAGGCAGTGCCCGGGGCAGCTGACGCCCCGCTCCCCGCAGGCCTGCTCCCTCCGGGCTGCCCGCAGGCTGCCAACCTCCTTCCTGAGCCGCAGACACAGGGGCAGCCTGTGCTCAGGCAGGCTGGGAAAGAAAGAATCGAGTATTTATTGACATTAACAGGTGTTTTTTTAAGCACCTACTTGAATACTGAGTCAAACTGTGGTTCAGCCGCTGGTAGTGGTGTCCTCTCGTCTGCTGACCTCGCCTCCTGGGGCTGGGACCTTTGAGGACTGCCTGTGCTGTGTGCCGGGCGTGGGTGTGAATGCCCGGAGCGTGGGCCCGTGCTCAGGGCTCTGGAGCTCAAACCCCACGGCCGCCCGGCCGGGCAGGGGCGTGTGCCTGTGTGTTGGAGGTGGTTCCGTGGCTACCGCATCCACGGTAATTGATGAGCTGCCGTGGTCCTGTGGCCGGGGCTTCCGCTGCAGTGGGCACCGTGGATGGGCGTGGGTGGGCGGGAGCCTGCCCTTAGCTGTGGCGTTAGTCCGCGGCTTCCGTTTCACTCAGGGCGGCTGCTCAGCGCGTGCTTCCCGGCCAGCGGGGGGACCCGCCGGGAGAGGAGACGCCTCGCTTTCAAAGGCGTGTACGCTCACTTCACACAAAGTCACGGGAACGTTCCAAGCAGAACGCACGCGAGTGGAGTTCCCAGGGGCACGCGTGGTTTCTGAGCGTCACGCAGGGCGACACGGAGCGTGTGAGCCACGCCCAGGCGGACACGCTGGAAAGGCGGAGGGCAGGAGACCGGGTCCGGGCAGGAGACCGGGTCGGCCGGAGTGCAGGGAGCTGGGCGGCGTGGGTGAGCCAGCCTCTGGGACTCAGCGTTCGCGTCTGTGAAATGACGGCTTGGGCTGAGCCCTCCACGGCCCTGCAGATGCATCCCTGCGTGGCTGCTTACTGTGCTCAGACAATGACAAAGATCCTCCAGGAAGCCCAGCTGGCTGGGCTCAGTGGCTGAGCATCGACCTATGAACTCGGAGATCAGGGTTCAATTCCAGGGCACTTGCCTGGGTTACAGGCTCGATCCCAGGTGTGGGGCATGCAGGAGGCAGCCGATCCAGGATTCTCTCTCATCAGTGATGTCTGTCTCTCTCTCTCTCCTTCTCTCTCCTTCACTCTCTCTCTCTCTCTCTCTCTCTCTCTCTCTCTCTCTCTCTCGCTTTCTCTCTGAAATTAAAATTTAAAAAAATATTTTAAAAAACCTTCAGGAAAAGTGGAACCACTGGGAGGCGCTCCTCAGGCCCGGCAGTGCACTGAGAGATTGTTTAAAGCGGCTGAGTTGTTTGCTTCTGCTGGTTTGTTTGGAATTTGTTGATCCCGGAGAGGAAACTCCCGCACCGCCCTGGGAAGTGAGCCATCCGGGACAGCGCATCCTCGCTCAGGTCTGCAGGCGAGCCTCTGCGCCTTTGGCTCGCCGTGGCTCCTCCACATTCGGTCCGGTTGGCTACGGGAGCCTCAGCTCTGCCTCGGGCTGACACCCTGCACTCGCTTGCTCTCAGAGACGTGCCGTCGAACACACTTACCCTGAGAGGCTTCCTAAGGTGGAGGCAGCCAGAGGCCACACTGTCCCCTATGACCGACCGTCCTGTGTCCTCCTCGCCCCTGTGGGGGGCTGTCATTGTCCTGGGCCGACAGAGGAGGCCCCTGAGAGGAGAGTGACAGGACCAGCCGGAGGCCCGAGTCCAGGCCGAGCTCAGCCGAGGTGGGTCAGACACGGGGCTGGATTGTAAGAGGGTCCCCCCTCCCCTCCGTGCAGCCTCTGTCCGGCCACTCGCACCTCCGAGCCCCCAGGGACACTCCCCGAGGCTCCCCCATGGTGGCTGCGTGGTCCCCTGGCTGAGGGGCCCTGGGCTCCATGTCACGGAGTCAGGCCAGCAGTCACTGGAGCAGCGGATGGAGGCCGTGCCTGCGCTTCCTGGAAAGGGCTCTGGCGCTGGACGGGGACGTTGCAAAACGGGCATTTAGGCCTCCCCCACTCTCTCTGCATCTTACACAGCGGAGCTGCGCCAAGGAGCTGAGTCAGTGCCAAGTGCCCTGCCCTTTCAACCCGCCCCTCCCCTCCCCCTGGAGGCAGGGCCCTGGCAGCTCCTCCACACTTCCTGTCCTGCCGGCAGGCCTTCCCCACATCCCTCCCATCCCACCCTTCTCTGGCTGTCAGAGGTGCGGGACCGAGCAGGCTGCTCTGCAGAGCGGTCCGGGCCCCACACCCAAGGGTCAGGCGGCGCCCGGAGCGGGTCTTCGGAACTCCCATCAGGAGGCTTCAATGCTTGCGTGGCCGCCAGGGGAGGGCGGGGAGCTTCTCAGGGTCCCTCACAAGGAGCCGGGCTTCAGGGCACCTGGGGACGCAGGCCGACTCCAGTGCTACCTTCATCAATAAAGAAAAAGAGAAAATGAAATATTTTATACCAAAAAAAAAGAAAAAAAAAGAAAGAAAGAAATAAACTGACTTGTCCTTGTTTCCCCTCTGAGTCCCAGATTTCTCCCCAGCCAAGGGGGGTCCGTGTGAGGGAGTAGCTGCTGCTTCATCTCGCGCTGCTCCTCCCTCCTCCGCCCCAGGACAGAGGCCAGCGGGGGGCCGCGCCGCCATCCCTGCCCGGCATTCCGTCCTCGCTGTGGGTCACAAAGGGCAGTGCCTGCTGTGGGCCGTGGACAAAGGACACCAGCCGGGTTCAGTCCGGACCGAACCTCCCACTGGCCCGGGCTCCGAGAAAGACCTTCCCTGTGTGCGTCTTTATCTCCGGCGGCGTTTGTGCCTTCTTTGCTGTTGGCCGCGTCACCCTCCGCAGGAGGACGTGTGTTCTGTCCGGACTCTGTCTCATCAGCGGCCCCACTGTGGCTGTGCTGTCCGCGCTGCGCTGGGGGTTCCCGGTCCCTCTGCCTCCCCATTCCCGCCGGCGCGGCCCGCCATCCCAGCCTCTTCTCTGGTCTCCGCCGTTAAAGCGGCAGGTTTGCTTCTCTGTGCTTTTCGACTGCCCGGGGCATGTGCAGGAACGCGGGTTTTAACTCTCCCATCGGCGAGATGTCAAACTCCTGTTGTTAGTTCTTCTTTGGCCCATGGTTTACTGTGAGGCTCAAAGTAACTTTTCAAATGTGTGTGGATGTTTTTATCTTTTAAGCGTTGGCTTCTGGTGTCACTTGTTCAGGAAGTGGGGTCTGTAGGGTGCTGCTCATTTGCATTCCATGGGAACCTGCTTTGGGGCCGTCTAGGCCAAGTGGCCAGCAACCTCATCAGTCAGCAGAGCCAAATACCAACAGGACAACGATGGAGATTCCTTTGGAGAGCCACATTTTTTAGACTTAAACTTCTTCTAATGCCACTTCTTCCAGACTCTCCTAGGCCGTGGCATTTTGTGGAAGAGCCACACTCAAGGGGCCAAAGAGCCGCATGTGGCTCTCGAGCTGCAGTTTACAAGTGCCTGAAGCTGGGAGCTTGGCAGTAGTATTGTTTGAACGTTCTGGATTTTCATTGGCTTTCCGCCTGCTCGGACCATGGAGACTGATGAGAGAGCATGGAAATTTGCCGCTATGTTGGTGGGCATGTCACTTCTCCCCGTATTTCCAGCAGATTTTGGGAGTTATGCACACGAGGCAACTTAACTGGGGGCAGGTGTGTGTGAATTCAGAATCTGTTCGTTTTCATTGTTGACTGTGTTACAGTATCCCATGCTCTCTCTCCCCTTTCCTCACCCAACTCCCCAGTTTAAATTTTTAAGTCTACATAGTGAATTGAACGTTTTACTATAGTACTAGAGGCCCAGTGCACGGAATTCCTGCACGGGGAGGGTCTCTAGGCCTGGCTGGCCATCAGGGCCAGTCTGTGGGGTGGCCGGTGGGGTGATCAGGGCCCCTGCTGGCACCTGCCTTGGCTGGCAGCCTGGCTCCACCCACTCACCAGCCTGGCCCCCACCACAGGTCACCTCTCACTTTGGGTTGACCTGCGAGGGGATTGTGGGACCCCCACTGGCACCCACCTTGGCTGGCGCCACCCACTCCCGCCAGCGCTGGTCAGGGCCTGCAGGCAACTCCTGCGTTGAGCATCTGCCTTCTGGTGGTTAGTGCACATCATAGCGACTGGTCATTCTGCCTGTTGTTTGCGGTTTGGTCAATTTGCACATTAGGGTTTTACTATAGAGGACAGGGAGCCTATTTAACCCCCGGTGTATATTATCTCAATGCCCCCTTTGGTATTAATACAGCTCCTCCAGGTTTCTTGTAACTGACCTCGACCTCAGCTTCCAAGGACAAGGAGTCCGAGTGGAACAGATGAGGAAAAGGATGTCCCGTTCTCCTCGT